TATATATATATATTTTATATATATATATATATATATATATATATATATATAAAACCATTGCGTATATGTGTATAATTATTACACACGATCAAAAGATAAAAAGGGATATTAAAATATATCCATATATTTTAAATAAAATTAAAATATGCTAAAAAATATATTCAAAAAATAATAAAAATGGCATAAAGGTTTCCGTGTGTTATTCTTTGTCACTGAGATATTACTTGATTATCTTTTTATCTTTAATCTCTTTTTTTTTTAAATTTAATTTATACTCGATGAGTTAAAAAATTTCAAGCGAAATTTATCGTTAAATGTATCGATGATAACATACAAAAATGCAGTAATACAATGTTTAATATCAAAATACGCAAATTTACCAATTTTTAACACATATTAGATTTACGAAATTGTAATACATATGTGATGATACACAAAATGTAATAAAAATAGTAGTTATACTTCTACACAGATAATGGATATATTGTATTCACTGAATCAATCACGAAGTATTTGTATAAATACCTACTATATTTTCATTGAATACAATACGTTTATTTAGATCCAGATCGCTATTTTTATATATTTATATTACTCTTATATAGTTATATTTGTGTGAAGAAAAAGAAAAATGAAATAAAAATATGTTATATTTTTATAACAATCATGTATACTGATGTATTGAAAATTAAAAAGAACCGATTGAAACATACATATAAGTGCGTATATGTATGATTTATCTATATAACATAAATGTATGCATATTCATATAAAACAATGTTACACAATGAATTTGTGCAGTAGTAAAATATTGGAATAGTAAAAATTTCATCGATTTTATCCAAGTCTTTAACATCAACGTACCTATCCTATCGCTTGTTAAGATACGCATTGAAATATTTTGTCAGTGACGACCTTTTTTTGATCGTTTACGTTTCTTCTTTTTTGCAGATGCAGCAGTAATATTTGCATTTGTTTTAGACGTTTCATTTGCGATTTCAGATGTATCAGTCGTAAGATGAGAATCTGTTTTTTCTTTTACGGTACTAACAGTCATATTTTGTCCCGTGGTATCTTCACTTTCACTTTCAGCATCGCTTGCACCAGTGCCGGTTATGCTTTCCACATCCTCTTCTGCATTGCTTAATTCCAATGATATAATCTTCTCCCTCAAAGTTTCCACCTAATTAAAATGTATAAATCATAAATTTCAATCGTAGTTAATCGTGCACAAATCTCTGGATTTCTGGATTTATAAAGCATATGTTGCAAATAATGCAATTAAAACATTTTTATAGTTTGCAGATAATCTAATAAATCTTATGATATCTATAGAATATATAAATTGATAATTTAATATTAAGATTTGAGATTACATAGATCAAATGACATATCAATTTCTATTCTATCTGTTTGCAGATGTATGTATATCAGATTTACATCAGCATCATTGTTTATTTCTGTTGTTATTATTTTTATAAAATTCCAATTTTGATAGAAAAAGTATGTTAATTGTCCTATGTTTCCTGACTTCCGATACTTCCTTTAGCATAATTCTACGTCTGTACATGCAATAAAAAACATCTCGAGCATAGAAACTTATAAACAAAATAAGTCATGCGTATACTACATACAGATATAAAGCCATAAGCTTAAAATTTAAAATGTATACATAAAATATATAAAAACCAAATTACCAATGAGTAGGAAAAAGTTGTTAGTGAGATCAGTAGAAGTAACATTCATAGTTCAAGATGGTGCATAATGTACCATCGATGTAAGCGACGGAATCTTGAAATAACAATAACACAATAATAATTGAACAAACACAGTACATAGATATTACATAAATACATATAAATAAAAACACAAGTAAAAACACTTATTTCTTAATTTTGTAACATTTTTTCGTAAAATAGTTTTATAGCGTACACACATGTAAGATATTTTGAATTTAATTAATTGCCTTATGTTTAGGTGCCTTTTAGACTTTCAGCATTGTCTTCTTGTAATTTATTCCCTACCATTTTATTTAATTATTGTAATCGACAATAGTTTTTAAACAATCAGTTGTCAAACAAAATGTTAATGTCTCATAAGCTCGCAAATTTCCCAAAACATATGCGATCTGGCATGGAATATATTCATTTATATCCGTAAATAAAATAAAAGGATAAAAAAAAGAAATAAATACGGAATAAATACGGTGCACTCCAGAGATAGTTGCAACAGTGATAATTTATTATTGTGCTTTTTAATCCCTTCATTTACAATATATATAAATGTGGTATTTAAACGCTCGTGCCAAATTTTACAAGCATAATACCTGACGCTCAATGAGCTTCTCGACGTATTCGACAGTTCGTACACGACGTTCGCCCGTCACTTCGTCAAGATATTCCTCGGTACGCCGAGTGACCTTCTCGTCCACTACTTTCTCAGATTCGCGTATCTCTTTAGGAGGACCCACTTTACTGCGCACAGCGAGCTTAGGAAAATCTGCGCTAGACGGCCGTAACGTAGTAAACTAAGATAGTAAAAGACAGACAAATGGGAACCGTTGTAATAACATGATTTTTTTCCTTCATGAATGCTGTGTGTTAGTTTAGGCGAGCAAGACAGCGATTAGTAAATAATCGGGTTAAACACATAACTTTAAAATAATCAAGCTTGCAGGTTCTTGTTATATATGTTAAATTATATAATTGACTTCATCCTCAGATACTACTTCCAAAATTTTACCTCGACTGCTTTCTCTTGATCAGGAATAGATCCGGTTGCAATAGTTGTATCTTGCGTATCTTCTTCTTTATTAGCACTATCCATTATTTCACTCATCTTTCTGATAACCATCTGTGCTTGGAGTGCATCCTATAAAAAAGAAACATTATTTTATTT